TGTTCTGTGAGATCCTTGAGACTGGAGGTTCCTTAATTTTGTGTGAACCCCTTAATCATAATAAACAGTGAATGGGCTCCCTTGCTTTATTGTGACTTAAAAAAAATAAATGTCTCTCAAACAAGAAATATACTTTTAGCACCAGCTGTGAATTAGAGCTAATTAACAGCACTCATCTAACAGGTAACCTCCTGGCTCAGGAGGCTGTGCTTATACCCAGGTCTGCCCTGGGTAAGAGGAAGGCAAACAGTCTGACACTTGCACAGCAGCCCTTTCTCCTTAGGGTCTCTCACACTGATATCTAAAGTGGGTCAAGTGAGCAGGGACAGAACGCGATGAAATTTTTAGTGTGAAGTGAAGGAAAGGATCTCCATCCCAAGGAAACTCATGTTTGTTAAAGCTTTTCAGTGACTGGAAGCATCTTTTAAGAGAAAGGGGCAGTTGATGCAGATGAGAAGAGTCCTGAAGAGCAAAACACTAACCTGAGTGAGATGCACCCGGCATGCTCATGTGCTTGTCCCTCTCAATTAAAGGTGGAGACGATTGGAGATGCCTACATGGTGGTAGGGGGGGTCCCTGTGCCTGTACCCACTCATGCAGAGAGAGTTGCTAATTTTGCCTTGGGCATGATAATGGCAGCCAAAGGAGTACAGAACCCAGTTTCTGGAAATCCTATCCAAGTAAGTTAACACAAAGGTGCATGTGTGTCTGTCTGCTTCTTGTGCTGAGCTTCTGATTAATGTATTGCAGCAGCACCTCAAAGAGCTGCTCTGGCTCCTCTTGGCTTTGGGCAAGGCCCACGTGGGCACATTTCCACGAGGAGCCTCTCCCTGTGGGTATTTGATATCATACTGGCGTCCAGTGTTGTGTTGAGATGAAATTTTCGGTAACTGGATAGCATTAAGAAAGATGTTAAATAACAAGTGACATTTCTGGGGGGTGTTTTATCTTTGTAAAGATTCGAGTTGGGATCCATACAGGTCCTGTCCTGGCGGGGGTTGTTGGAGAAAAGATGCCTCGTTACTGCCTGTTTGGGGACACGGTGAATATCGCCTCCCGCATGGAGAGCCACGGCGTCCCCAGCAAAATCCACCTCAGCTCCAGTGCCTACCAGTGAGTAACTCTGAGGGGAGCCTCACCTGCTCAAGCTCATGCTAAAATCCAGCCCTGGCAGCTGCACCTTTCAGTGTAGATGGTGCTTAGTCACTCATTTAAGCAGCTTGTAAGGGGAAGTCACTGCTTGTAAAGAGTCTTATTTTTGCCTAATTATTCCAAATGTACTTATATATAGAAGCAGAGGTTTGAGAGTCTCCATCCTAGAGAGCAAAAATATTTTAAAAATGGTGATAACTTATTTGGAAATACTGATAAATTGATGCAGTGCTAGAAAGACAGAACATTTAGAACATTTAATAACAAAAGGCTTAAAATCTCTTTGATTGAGCATCATAATTTGTAGCGAAACAGTTTCATTTACACTTACTAATGATTAACTGCATAAGCAGCTATTCTCCTCATGCTGTAATTTACTTTCCAGAAACTCATGTTAGTAAAAAATTAATACTATATTTCCAAGAACTTTATGTATGCATAAAATGTGTATGCAAGAATGGAAGCAAAGACAAACTACAAAGGAAGGAGTACAACAACATTGTCTGGGCACATAGGAATGATGTTGGGAAAATGAGAACTCAGCTGGCACTGAAATGGGAAATAAAGTTCAAAGGCAGTCAGAGGAGCTCTGCAATGTTGGAATATTAATAGAAACACCAACCTGCTGTGGCAGGTGATTTAGTGACAGTGCCCTGAAGAAAGGCTGAGTTACTCAAGGCCTCTCTTGCTTTGGGCTTCACTGACGAGATCTTCAAGGTCCCTGCACCAAGAGTCAGGGTTCAAGGAGTAGGTGAACTACGAGTACTGGAAGAGGATCAGAGCAGGGGCCTTTTGAGACATCTCCATCTACAGAAATACATGGGAGCAGAAGGGTAATGAGGTAATGAGAGCTGGGTGATGGCACTGCAGAGCTGCTGGCTGTCAGCTCTGGCAGGCCATGACTGTCAGCACCGTAGCAGCTGAAGAAAGCTACAGCTGTATGGAAAAATGGCAAGGGTGACACGGTGAAACTGCAGGATGATCAGCCTCATGTCAGTCCCAGAGAAAATCAAATGGCCATTTTTGGACACATGAAAAAGGCAATTGGGAATAGCAAGTCTGGATGTAAAATAAATTAGTCAGTCATGATTGACGGACCTGATTGCCTTCTCTGATGAAATGACTGGGGATAATTCTGTCCAGCTGATATTGGCTGCCTCAGTTCTTAATTTCTATTTACTGGTAAATAAGAACCCTACACCCTACTGAAGTATTTGACTTTGTGATTCAGTAATTTTTGATCAGGCTGTATGTGCTATGAAAGCACAGCAGGCTTGAATAAACAGTTGAAACAAATCCTCAGTTGTTCACAAATTGAGACTCTTTTTCTCAGACTGTTGTGATTTGATCACTCAGCTCTTTCAAAACATCAGTGTCATTTTTACTTGTGTTGAATTGTCATGTGTCATTTTGCTTCTGATACTTTAGGTGCCTAAAATACAAGAATTTTGAGATTACTGAAAGAGGAGAAATAGAAGTAAAAGGCAAAGGGAAAATGCACACATACTTCCTCATTAGAAATAAATCTGCAACTGAGAATGAGATTATGGGAAGGCCAATGAAAGATTTAGATTCTGGCCATGAATCTGTTCAGTCCTTTCCAGAATGCAAGACTGAAACTGTACCAAGTTCTCATCAGCCAGGTACAGTGAACTCAAAATGTTTTTCCTCCTTGAACAAATGAACATTAATACAATCCAGTTAAGTGTCCTTTTGTGTTCTTTCAGCTACTCAGACTCAGCAAAAGAAGGACCAGACCCCAACTATTGCAATGAAGTATGTTGATGGCCCCACAGATGCACAAAACAGCCTCAAAAGAAGAAATCAGACGAAAGCTGGAGATTTAACAGGTAGCTATTTAGTTACATCTCACAAACACCACAGAACTAGGGAGCAACTGAGGCTTAATCTTGCAAGTTCTTTATATTCATCTTCTAAATAACCATAGTTTTGTCAAGCCAGAAATTCATGCCAACATATACATGTTACCCTTCTGCATAATCTTTAGGGCCAGACAAATTTCACCTTTGGAGCAATCCCAGGTGTTGATTTGCACTAGTGAGAAAGAAGCTGACACAGCTGTCAAACCCCAGAGCCCTTCTGGGAGTGCAAATAGAATGGATAAACAGACAGCTCTTCACAGGAACAGACCCATGAACTGTTCATGTACACATCTTTTCCTAGGAAAGATGTAGTTATGGGGAGCCTTACCAACTCAAAAGAGGCCTTCTGCCTGCTGCAGGAGTCAGAAGGATTTATTGCCATGCTCATGTTCTGTGACCAAAGTTCATTTCCTTTGAAGTAGCTGATACTCAGATAACAGATTTGATGCCATAACAACCTAATCTAATATAGCAAGTCTTGTAGTCCTATTTATGTGTTTTGTGGATTTTAAACAGACTAAATATGTTGTCACTAATTACTAGAAAATATTTTACTGCCTTGCCTCCCACCTGCTTAGATGTGGTGGTTAATCTAGTATGTGGTGTGCTGACAAACAGAAACCTCTCTGATCTTAAAAACTCACAGTGCAGGAGTGTTTCCTTTCAGGCAAAACTTGTGATTCCAAAAGCGATGGGAGTCTCCATGGCAACCAGCATGCAGATGATGGTCCTTGTCCTCCAAACCAGGGAAGAGTCAAACCTGCTGCTGAAGAGCCACAGAATAGAAATGTTCGCTCTAATTTTTGCACTTTACTCTAAGTTTCTTACTTTTACATTAAACAGAGAAATTTTATTATGATTTTGTGCATTTTGCTGTTATGGGACTGATTTTGTATATGAGTATCACATGATTTTGTAAAAAAAAAAAAGAAAAAAAGACATTTCATCACAGTTTTCAGTAAAAATAAAACAGTGGAGGAAATTTTTTTAATCCATCTACATGGGCCATATAATACTCCTAGTAGAGAAAGAAACCCTAGCAGGATGCTTTAAAGATGCATTTTGCATTGCATAGATGAAGATTTTCAGCCTGTGCCACATCTTTGAATATCCTTGTGTAAAAATCATGTGTTGGTATCTGATGCAGCAATCGAGAAAGAGGTGACTCATCCAGCTAGAAATATTCCTACTCAAATGGGCACTTGCCATAAAAGAAACATTCCCTGAAGTGACCATCTGTCTTGACTCCAGCACAGCCAACAACTTCCCCATGTAAGGTTAGCAGCATTCCACCTGTGTTTTAGCTGCAATAACAGCCTAATTTCTTAACTAATCTTTGGTTCGGTATTATGAAGTACAAGTGCAGAATAGATCTAAAATAACCTGTATTTTTGCATCCTGAAGAGAGAATAATGTGTACTTGATAGCAGCCAACAGTAAAAAAAGAGCACCTGTGCTCTCTGAACCAGCCATACGTACTGTGCATAGAAGGGCATGGAAATGGTAGAGTTACAAAGCATCAGATTTGTCACAACACTGAAGGACTGTTCAAGGCCTACAACCTATTTGAGACCTTCAGATGAGTTTCAAGTTTCTCGTTTTTTCACCCCAGCTAGACAAAAAACCCAAAACATTCAGGACTGCAGAAGGAGACTGTCAGTGCTGGAATTAATGTTGCTTGCATCATTGAAAACAACAGCATTAGAGATCAACATTACCTGGGATCAGAGGCTGCTTAAACTGAAATACTTCCATGCTGATGTATTCTTAGATTATGCCTGATCAGAAATGGGAGAGAAAAATTGAAGCTCATTTGTCAGGGATTTCAGAGAGAGGAGCAAAAATACAATGGATAGTAAGGTTAAAGACAACTTGGTGCATCATAAATTGTGCTCTCACTCCTATAAATGGAGCTTGGAATAGGTGGATGACTTTGACAGAAGATGTGCCCTGCACACTGATTTATTACCTTTGGCTGTGGATTCATCGACTAAGGATGCAGGCATGAGACCAATGTGAACTCTGGGCAAGAACTTGCTGGAGAAGGTGATAATGTTACTCCTCTCTGACAGTCTGGAGCATCATATTTCCACCTCTGTGTCTGCAGCAAGAGTGAGGCTCTTCAAACACCAGACAGAGAGCTAAGACTGATGAAAGGCATCTCCTCTTTATAGTATAGCCAGATGAAATTTCACCTGGTTAGATTTTTTTTTCAAATCTCTGAGACAGGAGCTCAGCAGCTCAGTCTACAGGAACAATTAATGCAATTAGAGCAGCAGAGGAGGATGCACAGAGTGAAGGATCAGTGCTGTTCTCCACTAAAGAGGTGTTCCGGGGGGTTTGCCAGGTGTGGTCCCATGCAATGAGCACCTGTTAGCTTTTGGAGCACCTCATAAGCACATGCTCTGGCTTAGCTTATCCAGAAGAGATCTATTTAACACTTGCTTTGCTTAAACCTGCCCTTCTTGCTCTGAACAATCTGTGGGTGTTTAATATTGGAATGTTTTAATTGCCATTAAGTGCTCCATGGTAAGTTACTTCATGCTGTGCTGTGGTAAAAATGGTGTGCTCAGTGGTTTCTCTGTGGCATCTGCTACAATCTGGTTCTCCTGGAGGTGCAGAGCTGGGTCAAATCTGCTCAACTGCTTCTAAAAATTAATGTGCCTGTGCATCCTCATGTGTTCTTAAATCTGTAGGCACTTCTAAAGACTGCAAAAATATAATTCAGAAATAAATCTTTTCATTAATATACCAACTGCCATTTGTCAGTGATTACTTTGATTCCTGTCCCTCTTTTCCCTTCCACGTTTTCTATTCTCCTTTTCCTCTGGGCCTACAGAAGTGCTCAGTCTTTGTGTCAGTCACATATCTACAGTAAATGGACACAAAAAGGGTGGAGAAGAGAATTCCCACCACTGCTTCATGGAAGCTGAGGCTCAGAAAAATTAAAAGTTGAGACTTTTGGAAGCTTTCTGAAACATATGGATTCCCAAATCCCATTAAATCTGGTGTTAAAACCTTAACTGTAAAAGTTTGGGTACCTTAAAGGTCCCAGGGCCAGATTTGTCAAAGACCTTTGTTACTTTTCTGAGGGAAAACAACTGGATTTAGGTGCTTAATTGAACACACATGCAGTGTTTAATTCCCACAAATGAAGCTTTCCTTAAAACATTAATAAAACCTTCTCTGAAAAGCCTTCTAAAATGGTCTCTTTAGTAAACTTTCCACACTGGAACCTCATTTGCATTAATTCATTACTTCTGACATTACAATGCAATTCTATATAGATCCAGGCTGAACATAAAAATACACAAATAAAATAGCAGTGAAATTGAAATTATTACTTCAATGGTGAGAATATATTAAAATTGCACTTGAATATAAAAAACTATGGTGAAATTCAAAATGAAAAAAAACCCCACAGTATTTCATAGAAGTACACAACATCATGGAAAATTCAGAGGGGTTTTTCTTCTACTAAGTCTCTGCTTTCACCTTAGAAAACTCAAGACTTCAAGAGTAGACAATGAGATTAAAATCTTCCTTGAAGTTATCTGTACAAACATCTACTATTCATGTATTCTTTATACAATATTTAATCATCAGTGCTTCCTGTACAGAAAGAAATAGCAGTGTGCAGCATTTTGATTCCATAAATAGCTGTAATCAAAATAAACACATGGAATGTTATCTTCACTTATATGATTAGACTAACAAGCACTGCTCATTTTTTACAAGCTGTCTGTAGTTCTATCTCACAGTTATGTTGTACTTGCTTGCTGAATTTCTGCTAATGATTTTTGGTCTGAGCTGTGCTGAGAAGCCATTCCTAAAAAAATCTGATATTCACAGTTCTTCCTATTTTGACCTGGTGTCCAGCCTTTAGTCTCCAGCAGGATGAGCACACCATGTGAGAAGCAGATTTGTAGCCACATTTTCATACAAATAAGTACTTACTCTCCCCTGTGCTCTGTTAAAAGTGAACCCCAAAAGGACATAAACTCATTGCCAAGCTTTGTAGAAATTCAGGGCAACATTAACTGACTCTGTAATATCTCCTTTACTTTGCTGTATGAGTGAAGCTTGAAAGTTTTACCTACAGAGAAAACCTCACAGTCTCTTAGGTAGTTCTTATTTTGTCATTTGCATCAGACACATTTCTGTAATGGAATCAGCAAACACAAGTGATGCCACGGTTTCTGCTTTTTGTGACAAACACACCAAACCCAGCTTCAGCCCCCTGTGCACAGTCCTGAGGTGAGGGGTCCTTGGACACATTGCACAGAAGCACTTGGTGGAGGCACCTTTGCTTTGTGTGGTTTCATCACAGCGCCTGGGCTTTCAGCTGCCTTTGTTGTGGCTTCCATTTCCATGCTGAACATCAGGTCAGTGACCCAAAACATGGCTGGGTGATGCTCTGTGGGCATCCTGCCAAAACGTTTTGCAGGAGAGGAACCTGACACACAGCTATCATTTAAGGCCAATTTATCTCAGGAGTCTCACATATCCTTTTCAGTGATGGTCATCAGATGTTTTGTGCTCTGATTTTGTGGGCTTTTGAGAGAACCTTGCTTTTCAGCAAATGATGGCATATCTGTTGGTAAGAGGAAACTCACAGCCTTCACTTTACCCCTGGAGAAAAAATGAGAAATCATTATGAGGATTACAAATGTAGAAAACATGCAGAGAAAGTAAAAAAAAAAAAAACAAACAAAAAACAAACAAACGAACAAAAAAAAAAAAAAACCAAAATACCAACCTGAACCAGCAAGGAAAAAGTAAATGCTTTCAACTCTTGCATGATACTGGAGGCAGGATTTCACGCTATTCACATGGCCATCCCAAAGGACCAAGCATGGTGCTTTTTCCATTGAGCCTCACCTCTCCCTATCAGTGCCTGATCTGTGTGTACAAAGTTGTGTGTGTACAGAACCCTGGGGGTGCATGTGTACCCACAGAGACCTTTCAGTAATTTTAACATAATAGTCATGAAATGAGTTCTCAGCCTCTCTTATCCTGTATTTAAATATTTTTTTTTCATTTACAAAACACAGTGGGAATCCCTTGGTATAAATAATGCTTTAGCATATATTAATTAAAATATTTTAGACATGCAAATTAGAGATGATTTGTTAGCTGTGTTGTTTTTTTATTACTTGGGTGCAATGACACTCTATATAAATTCAAGGTGATACTTCTACAGAGTTAATTTTAAAGCAAAAAATATTCATATCACATACAGGATTATAGCTTTGGAGCAAAATGTGAGGAAGCTACAATAAACTAAGAATAGGGACACATGACATGAAGCAGCATGCTGGAAAGCAAAAATGTCATCCTTGTAAAAAATTAAGCTTAATAAGCTTGCTGAACTAATTGCTAGAAATTGCCTTACTGGTGAAAAGCTAAGATTGGTGTCTGTGTCAGACATTTGAGTATACAATGGAAGCATCCACCATTAAGACCATAAAAGATACTAAACGGTTTTTTTGGTGTAAGAAACACAAAGTTTTGTGTTCAGGATATCAACCAGCCTACCGAGGGGGTGAGGTGCAAAGCTCCTTCCACAGCCACTTCTCCTCCTAAAGCAGTGAGTGACACAGTCACAGTTCAGCTTGCCAGGGCAGCTCGAAAGGCAGCGATAAAATCATCATTGCTGTGTTCGGCCACGGGGCACCCAGCAGGCACTCGATGTAACAGATCTGTGCTGCTATTCTGATTGCTTTCAAACCCTTTCCCCTCGTGAGCAAGCAGCAGGATTTGCCATTGCCATCCCTGCCTGCTGGAGGTTCGCTGCCTCGCATGCCCTCCACGTGAGCTGGCTCCAGGCAAAGCCCGAGGTGTCCATGGGGCCAGTGGGGTGTGAGCAGAGATCAGAGTACGGGGTCATGGTGCTTTGCAAAACGATCTGAGTTCCCTGCCACGGACTAAATTTAGGTGTCTAACTGCTGTAAAAGCCTGACCCTGAAACGCCCTTACACGGAAACCCAGGTGCCTCTGAAAGATTGACCTTGTTGTCCTCTGCAGCCTCTCAGAGAGGAGCTGGGCCCCAAATTGGCTTTGCACGGCGAGTGCAAGGGGCTGGCACTGCTCTGCTCTGAGGATTTAGGGGGACAGAATAAAAGCTGCTGTGATGTGCCATGCACAGGTACCTCCACACAGGTGACACAACCCACAGCAGGTATCAGCCCCCGGGGTGGCCACTGGAGTCCTGTCCCAGGACATGCATGGGCAGGCAGAGCCTTGGACTTCTCCCTGCCCAAACACACGCTTTGAGGGCATTTGGGTGATTGTCCTTTTGAGCACAGCATGACTGGGCTGAACCCAGGAATCAGCCTGAATTCCCAAGGTGGATATATCAGCAACAGGATGTGGCTGGGCTATCATATATCACAGTCTCATTCCTGCTGGTTCTACCTGTGGTTGTTGTCCTGTGCTGGAAAGCTTCTCATCAATGAGCAGAGACATTCAGGGCTGGTCCAGCAGCCATTTCACTTAATTTAGAAGCTGTCCTCAGACTACTTTTTCAAGGCTGAAAGCATTAGCTTGTAATGCTTCAGTTACAGGGGAAATATGATACAATACATCTAAATCCATGAGCCACAGTAATCACACTTCTAAAGGCATAGTGCAGAGTTCCTTGGTATTTCTATGCTTTTTGTTCAAAGTTTAAAAATCCCTTTCAAGCGTAGCTTGTCAGAACATCACATCAATCTGCAAAACTCTGCCTGGCTTTAACAGAGCAAAGATTTCAGGCCCCTTCACTCTCCCTCTTCCTCTCCTTGCTATAACAAATTTAACCAGCTACCACTGCCAAACCTCATGCAGTGCAGGGAGGAGCACAACTTCCTCAAAAGGGGTCTCCAGTCTGCTCAAGGCCCTTATACATTCAAACAACTGTTTTGCTGATAACATATTAAAACCCAGAGCAAAGTTCATATATCTTATTAGGTGAAACCTGTGACCAGCCCAGGCAGGAGGTGCTGTGAAGGCAAACCAAACCTACTGGCACTTATAGACGTGCTCCTGAAACAGCTTCACGTTGCTGGAGTGGCTGTAGGAGAGACAACTGGCTGGTGATTTTTCAAGCCCTTTCTCCTCTTCCCTGCTGAGCTGTGCTGCAGCAGGAGGGGCTGGTGGCTGGGCTCTGCCTGGCAACTCCAGGAGCCTGGTGCTTGGAGGCTTCCTGCCAGCCCAGTGGGACCTTGTGCTGGAAGGAGCAGGAGCTGGGGAGACGGTGGGGTAGCGTCTCACAGTCATGGCAGTGTCTGAGGAGCAGAGGAAAAAACAGAGATAAAAACAATACTAACACTAATAATACTACTATTAATTATAATAATGACAATTCAGATATCCTCAGTGTATTTTTGGAGAGTGAATTTTTACATGGGCAGATAGTGCTAGAATAAGGGGGAACAGTTTTCAGCTTAAAGCGGGGACATGAGATTTTAGGAGGTGAGGCAGTGGCACAGGTTGCCCAGAGAAGCTGTGGATGCCCCATCCCTGGAAGTGTTCAAGGCCAGGATGGACGAGCCTTTGAGCAATCTGGTCTAGTGGAAGGTGTCCCTGCTAATAGCAGGGGTGTTTGTAGTAGATGATATTTAAGGTCCCTTCCAACCCCAAATCTACCATTCTATTTTTAATCACTTTTTTGAGGCTCAAAAACATGAGGTGTGATGAAGCTGAGAGGCAGAGGAGGCCAGGCAGCCCCTTTAGGTCCTACCCTTTGCCCTAGAAAGCAGCTGGAGAGGAAGGGCCACAGGGTTAGAAAGCGCTTTCCACAGCTTTCCCCCTTGCTGAAAGACCATGGAGCTGTTCCCAAAGTGATGACATCCCCAGCCACCAGCAGCCCCTGCCTGAGGCCTTCAGGCTGGTAACCTGGCCACTGGGTCAGCGGGATTGGCAACAACCACTATTCCATCACAGCACCCCTCTGGCTGCATGAAAATCCACTCCTGCTGGTCAAACTCTCATCTTGTTCCTTCACACAGATTTGTCTCCATGAAAATTTGTGGGGCCATTTCTCCAGTACTTCTCACCAAGCCACATTTTGCTCTGATTCCTACTTCATTAATTCCTCCAGAAACCCCAACCAGACTTCTCCAACCGAGGAATATTTCCATTTTTCTCCTCTGATAAAATTGTGAAGAGAACGTATTCCTTTATATTGACCCCTCTGCCTCAACAAGAACAAACTGCATTGTCTGCAAAAATAAACTGCACATCTGTCGTGATGTATGCAGCCAACCCATTATTTTTTGTAGCATTTTTCTCATCGTTGACTAAGGCAGGATGGGTTATAGCACGATTATGAGCCTTGGCCCTTTTCTGCCTGGAACAGAGACGGGACAGGCATGTGGAGGAGAATCCACACCTGCGAAAACCCAAAGCAGAAAGTCAAATTCTGCTGAAGCAAACGGAACTCTTTGAGTCGAACCCTTTGTTTTAGCAGCATTAAACACTCCACAGAGCTCAGCTGTGGGCAATGCACCCTGAAAAGCCCACGGAGCAAGACATGCAGCGCTGTGGGTTTGGTGTGAGCGCAGAAACGAGGCCAGGGCACTTCCATGGAGTTAACCAGAAGGCAGCTGGCATTCCTTCCCCTTCCCTGCGGGCTGGCACACGCTGCACGGGCAGTGCCAGGGCAGCCCCCCTCGCTGTGTGCCGGTACCTGTGTGCTCCGCGGCGCCTCCCGGCAGGGATGTTGGGGCTGCCGGGGATGCCGGGGATGCTGCCGGGGATGCTGCCGGGGATGCTGCCGGGGATGCTGCCGGGGATGCTGCCGGGGATGCTGCCGGGGATGCTGCCGGGGATGCCGCCGGTGCCCCGGCACGGCGGGCACGCCGCCACCCGCCCGCAGCGCCGCTCCGCGCTGCCGGTGCCGCTGCCCGCCCGCAGCCCCGCAGCTCTCCCTCCAGCGCCCTGTTTTCCCTCTCCAGCTTGTGGATTTGGGAGCGCATCTTGCGGATGAGCTGCAGGAGGTGCGCGTTCCCCTCCATGCTGTGCCGCCCTCGGAGCCGCTGCTGCTCCCGCGGGCTCACCCTGCCCTTAAAGCCCCGGGAGCCCCTCCCGGCCCGGATCCCGGATCCCGGCCCGAGGTGCCGAGAGAGGGCCATGATTTATTCATCCGGGCTCGCGTTTCAGAGCAGGGCGGCCTCTCCCCGCCGCACAATCGCTGCCCCGGGAGCCCGCCCGCCCCGCTCCTGCCTCTTGGGTTTCTCCGCACGTGAGGAGGACAGAGTCCATCTCCTTTGGTTTGCCCAAAATGGCCAGTGATCACCTGCTGGCACCGAGAGAGTCCCCCTTTGCTGGGCAGCGATCCATCTCTTCCCTAACACGGGGTGATTTACACCTTTTCGCTCTGTGTATCTGCAATTTCAATTCCAGAATTGGTAATTTCTCTCAGGAAAATTAAACTTCTAAGTGAAAGCTGATACAGTGCAAGAACCCTGCTATTAACAACACATGCCAGCAGCTGAGATGGACAGGCAGGAACACCAAAGCACTCCTGGAAGGCTGCAGCAGAGCCTGGGCCCTCTCTGGGCACCCAGGGAGGCTCTCTGGAGTGGAGCTCTGGCACCAGCACCCAGGAGTGTAAGGAGAGACAGACCAGGCATCATTCTTGCATTAGCAAGAGAAACACAATCCCCTGTATTTCTCTCATCACCTAGTCCCTAAAGCCATCTTTCTTCTGGCAGTAAGATGCAAAAACCTGTGGAGCAGTCTTCCCACTCCCCAAAATCCTACTTCAAAATACAGAACTGAAAATGCCAGAAAATCACCAGGGAAATAATTTAACACACCTTTTGCCTTGAGGCCCTTCACTTCCCAATAGCTCAACAGTGACTCAGGAATAACAGAGAGGAAAAAACCCCATTTCATCTGTATGCATTTCCCTACTCTGCTGCTGGAGGCTGGGGAAGAAAGAAAAACTGTTGTGAGATGCTTCAAACGTGAGATGACTCAGTCTGTTTTTCCCGAGGTGTCAGAAGGGCTGTGGGTGTATGGGGAGGTGCTGCTGCCCAGCATCAGCCCTGCTGTCACCTCCTGGGAGCTCCCCAGAGGGCTCTGAATGGCTCAGGCTGTGGGCAGAGAGGTGAAATGTGGGTTCTCAGGCTGCAGATGAAGCTCACAGCACCCATGCACTTTTCATGGGCTTGGACCCAGGCTGAAATAACAGAGTAGGTGTCCCTATACTGGGGATAACGTGTAGGGAGCATTATGGGTCTATTTCTCCAGCAAGCAGATCAGACACTGGAGCAGTGGCAACACCCATGTGTAATTATAATATCGCTGCTGACCCTGCAGCTGGCAGGTCTGGCTGGGCAGGGGACACTTACCAGCTCAGCAATTAACTTACCCCAGCTGTAGCTGCAGACATCTGCTCCTCTCATCCCATGCCTGCTGCTCCTCTGGAACCAGACTGGAGCAGGCACAGGCCTTTTAATGCATCAGAAACATCTGAGGAAATGCCTTTTGTCTTGTACCCTTGTACAGCTGCCTCTGCTGAAAGGACCAGATGACTTGGGAGTTTCAGACAATCATAACCTGGCAAAGCTGCCCTTGCCACTGGCTGACCAGTGTGTTCCCTGAAAACAGAAGGAGCTCCATGCACCCAACCCTGTTTTTTGTAACTTCAGTGGGGTCCAACATGTGTGCTAACCCTGCCAGCTCCTGGATGCTGCTGCTCTCTGTGCCACAGAGGGAAGCATGCTGGGTGCCTCTCGGCCATGGCACGCTTGCAGGCTGTAGATTTTGGTGAGCATCTCTTCAGTGTGCCTGCCCCAGCCTACTGCAGACACCTATAACTGTGTGTGTTTTGCTGTAGAACACCTCAACTTTAACAGAAGGGGCGATTTCTCACACTTGAGATGCTTTAGTAGGTTGTCCTTGGTAGGATATGGACCCAGGTAAAATTGTTTTCAGCCCCAGACATACCCAAAGCTCTCTGCTTGAAGCCCCATAGCAATATCTCTGTGTGGCTGCTGGTGGATGTGTTCCATCTCAGTGGACTGTACAAACTGCATACCAAACAGTACTGCAGCAGAAAACCTGCAAACAAAACCCAGAAACCTTGTGGAGCATCTTCATCCAAAGTGTGGGAGCCCAGCTCTTTGTTCTGCCCTGCCCAGCACGGTGACAGGCAGCAGCTGTGTGTGCAGGGCTGCTCCAGGGCTCCCTGAGGAAGGGCTGCACTGAGGGCTGCGAAGGGACAGTGTGAAAACTGCCACCAGCACCTGCACAGCCACCACCACTGCTGAACAGTTTTTGTAGCCAAATCCCTCTTGCTCCCCCGAGGTTACTGGGATGAAAAAATTGAAAAAGACTCATTGCTACTCTAGTACAATGATTTTTTTTTTTTTTTTTTTAGCTTACCACAACATTTTGTTCTGGAAAATCCATCAGCAGCAGGTGTGTGGATGTTTTCTGAGACCTGCTGCAACTGGAGGTGTGTCCTGCCTCCCAGTGGCACAGGAGTCCCATGCAAAAAGACAGAGCCTCCCTTTCCTGGGGTTAAATCCGACCAACAGAGCACAAGTACTGGCACTGCATCTCCAGCCTCGCTGGGAGAGGATGGGGCAGAAGCACAGCCACCCACCTGCCCCAGCAGGAAATCTTGGGGAATAGAACAGCTCACAGGTCCATCATCCCAGCAGCAAACCTGAAGCCCAGATCTCTGTCAGGGCTGGAGTCTCCAGGAAGGTTTGCTGTGAATCAGCCTTGAACGTCAGCAGCACTGGATAAAAATTTATCACAGCATCCTATAAAAAATTACCAGACAAAAGCGTAACAGCAGCTCTGGTGGGGGCCAGTGGCAACCCTTCCAATTCTCACTGTGCAAGAACATCGCTGTGCCCTGAATACTTGCTTGATTTCTGACTTTGACATGTTTTATGCTTCACTGTGGTGCAAAAGAGCCTGATTCTCTTCTGAATCTGGCTGTACAAGCTAAGGAGGTGAAAAAGAATGTTTCAGTGGGTTTAAAAATTAACAGCGCATCCCTGCCTGCCCCAGCAGCGCATCCCTGCCTGCCCCAGCAGCGCATCCCTGCCCCAGCAGCGCATCCCTGCCCGGGCCGAGCCAGCCCCGCTGTCCCGCCCGGAGCGCCCCCCGTGTGTCACACACCGGGAGCGGGTCCGGCACATGTCACCTGCCTGCAGAGCGCTTTTCTGAGCGCTCTCGGACAGCCGCCTCCCGGCAGAGTGACAACGAGCCGCTGGCTCGGCAGGACGAGCCCAGGAAGGAAACACGAGTGGGCAGGAATGCTCTGTCCTTGACAGGGAAACCCGGCTGCTCGCTCTGCTCGAACGAGACCTTGCCTCGCTCACGACTAATGAAAATCTCCTCAGGCACGGCTGAGCGGGACTCGCTCGCAGCGGGGGCAGCGAGGCACTTGTGGCGAGTGAGCGCCACATCCTCCTGGAAGCAAAGCAAGGTGGCAAAAATCAATTACATGTGTAAAGCATCCTCAGGTTTCAACATCTCAGTTGGTAATGATGGCACAAAGTTATCTGATTGGTCTGATAAAGGGTAATTGTTTAACTTATTTATGTCTGTTAAGCATCCTTTTCCCTTTGCAAGGACCATTTGCCTGACTGTGCCTTAACTCCCACATGTATGCAGAAAATGCCACATGTCCCATATTAAAAGAAGCTTTGATTTTGAGCATTGAAGGTTTCTGAAAGGGGTCGGAATTCCAGCAGGGGATGCTCAATACTTTTGAAAAATCAGGCGCAACCTGAAAATGCAAAATAGAAACACCAAGGTACATGAGTCACATATGAAAACTTTGGCTGTGGTTTTGGACTGGGCTGACACAAAGTTTGGCTACAGAAACATTTCAAACTCCTCAAGAAGGCACTTCAGGTGCCGTGTTGAATTTCCAAGGCTCTGTCTCTTTAAATGAATCCTCAAGTTAGTGTGGAATAATCAGAATTAGTCTCCTTTATGCCAGCACCCTGCAAGCACAACATATGCTACAGAGTACAAACTCATGCTTCATGCAAGAGAATCTTTATGCTCAGCTGGAGATTTTCATAATGAGGAGCTCACAACTGGGCCCAAAGTTACCTGCACAGAGCTTGCAAACGCTTTCAAATTAAAACAACCCTCACTCATGGGAGAGAGCATCACGATTACAGAGCAGCCCCAAGCACAAAATATGACCTAAAATTATAATGATTATTAATAATAATTTCTTACTCTGCTTTCTTTTTTCAAGCAAAACACCCCATATAAAATGTGAGTATATTTGAAACCCTGTAGCTATAAGGTATCTCACCACAGGCAATCTGTGCCATGACATCTAAATCAAAACTACAGGCAGCATCACATGGCATTTGCAGGTCACAAAAACGTATCACAGCGTAACACCCTCACAGCTGTCCCTAACAAAAAGTGAGTGACTACAGCTAACTGAAGCAGCACATGGGGAACACAGTTTAAAAAGCACAAGAAAAATGCAGCTTCTGTAAGATGAGGTGTAGTTCATAGGAAAAAAGGAAACATGCTGCTGTTCATGGTGAGATGTTTATACTGAGGACTTCAGGATGCTCTAATGAGTTATGAAAAACCTCAACCTGGACAGAAATTTCAGTAATTACAGTTGCACTTTTCCATTACTGAGAATTTTCTAAAAATACCTGTACATTGTCAACTCAATGAAACATTACAAACCATGCACATATCTTGTGTAGGCTATGACTCCCAGATTAAAGGGGACTCATTTCTCTGACTCCCACCTGACTGTACCTCAGAGGTGCTCTTGAAGGCATGGGACATGTCCAGGGCTGATCCCAAACCTCTGTTGGGTACAGCTTCCCTGAGGGGCAGCAGCACCCCCTCCCACAGTGCCATGAGCCAGAACTGTTTGTGTGTCAGTGTTTCTGCACCTTGAGGCTACAGTGAGAAATACACACACCACTTACTGACTAGGAGCCTCTCCCAGACGAGCTCTTTACTATCCTGCCTTAACACCACTCAATACTCTCTTGGCCTCATAATCTACATGCTGTGGCAGCTTTCCCCTAACACTGCTGGTTTCACTGTACTTTTACTTTTTCCCATCTCAAATGCTCC